AGGCCGAGCTAACGCATCGGGGTGCACGAGTTTGTCAAGGCAGCAATGACATCAACCGATGCAAGCAACTCGCGGTAGGCTTCGAGGAAGAATGTGTAAAATACTTTATTGTCACTACATTTCGTTTACTCTGGAAAGCCGCGCATCAATAAACCCCCCCAACCCCCCCCCCCCACCCCTGCAAGTCAACCCTCGGCAAGAGATCTCAGTGTTAGCAATGGCGGTGGGGGGGGGGGGGGCGGTGTGGCGATCGAGGCGATTACAAAGACAGCGAGTAGGGTAACAGCAACGGGGGGGGGGAGAGGTTATGGCACTGGGCAAACGCCTCGGCAACGTGCCGTCAAATAAACCGCACGACGTGGGAAGGGGGAGGGGGGGGCCCTCATCCAGCAGCGGGGATTGACCGCGCGCGTGCTTGTATACGATACTTGGGTTGCAACGCGAGGCGAGCGGACCCCGTCCGTGGCACTGCACCCCGGGAGAGGCACCTTCGCCACACAACGCAAGGCCAATGTGGCGGCTTTCGATCCGAGGGGGTCCGTGTGGGGGGGGGAACACTTCTGGAAAACAGCGCAAGGCACTTAGGGTTGTTAGCTTGTTTTTTTTTGTTGTGTTAACGTTCGCGACAAACACCCCCCTTCCCTCACTACACGCACGCTGCTAACATGATGCTCTACGTTAAAAAAGAAAATCGAAACGAAAAACTACCTTGCGTCATCATAACGGACGTAAATGTATTAATTTATGTGAGCTACAAAATCTAATGTTCTACCGTTATAAAAAATGATATATATGTGTAATGCTACCTCAGGGGTAGTAACTGATGTACCAACACGATGCTCCTTTATGCACTTAAAAAAACTATCATATGTAGTACAAGACAGAAATATTCTGCGAGTACATATACGCTACTTACGCGCATTAAGGCAACCGGCTCCTGCTTGCTTTAGGCAAAAGAAGAAAAAACGAGCTAAACGCTACTGTTCCACTCCAACCAAAGCATAAATATTCCCCACGTCCGCCGTGAAATGTGAACTCGGTGTTGTGCCGCGTGTGGAAGCGACGCCGAAGTTGGGCACGTAGCGATTTGGCAACTTAAAATCGATTATTAAAGCCGGGTCACACACCCGAGCGGATCAGCTGCTGCGACCAAAGCCGCTCTCCAATTCGCGGCAAACTTAATCGTCGCCCGCGACTGCTTTTTCAGCATCTGAGCAAATAGTTGCGCCAACAAAGGGTCGTCGTCTGGCATGGCTAAAAGTCGAATTTATCCGCACCCCTTTGAAGCATAACCCCCCCCCCCCCCTTTTCTGGTTAGCTTCACTCCTCCACCGACGTCAGAATTGTACGACAGCCAATCACGTGGCCAAAAAAACATGTGAACGTGATGAAATACTTGAGTTTTTTTTTGGGGGGGGGGTTAGATCGCGTATATATACATGTGTCGTGAAACCCGCCACCACCCGACATAGCCAATTATTAGCAAGGTCTGTCACGTATGAAAAACGTGCCAATTCGTTACCAGTTTTGTTTGCGAATTGGCCGTGTCGGTTCATTGGCGGGTTTAACGACACATTTACATTTGCGCGATCTAACACATCTCATGGATAACATTTGTCGCCAAAGTCATACTAAGTGTGATGAAATACAGCGCTTTGAATCGCTGAGCTGATCGATTTAAAGTAACGTTTCCACTGGGAGCAAACGCTTGTGCGGCGAGCAACAGAGATAACTTAAAAAAACGATGAACTATTTTTATTTTACCAGGTGAGGCCTTGCTATCACAAATGATAGCTCGACGAAGTGGCTTATCGTTGCGTGGAAATTTATAGCAGTTTCTGAATGTGACGGGAAAAACCGGAGGACCCGGAGAAAAATCCCATGACCACGGGGAGAACACGCAAACTCAAAATATATAGGCGACAGGGTCTGGGTCGAACCCAGGCCCTCCTGTATACAAGGCAAAGTAGTCAACATCTCGTCACTGTGGCACTCAATGATGTCCACGCGCAAGGGATTCCGTTGCGCGCAACAAAGTTGCACGGCAGACGTCTCGGGCGTGGACCCCGCTTGCTTTAACACTTCACGGTTTAAGTGGAAGAGGGGAAAGTGTTTGCGATTTGCGCAAGTTCGCGCCAATGTTAAGTCTAACCATACAATCCGCGACTTTATTTCGCACGGTCTGCGGCCACACGAGGCCTACCAACACTTCGGGGCTGCCACCCTATGGAGGTACAAAAACTGGGACGCGTGTCACGGGAATAAAAATACGCCACGATCCTGGAAGAGGGGGGGGGGAAACTGCATTGTAAACGCGTTGAGTGGCATATCATTTTGCAAACTACAAAACAACCACGGGTGACTTTTAACATCCCGGGGGAAGACTTTCAGATATTAGGCGCCTCGAAAAGAAAAGGACAATCCTGGGCACACCAGGTACGGGTGGCGACGGCAAACCCTACCTCTATCGCTGCAAAAAGGCCCAGAAAACGACTTCTATCCGTCCCGTCTCATTCGGAACTTTCGACCCGACACTGTCGTGCTAGCAAGAGACAAAGCGGTCGCAAGGCATCGCACGTTGGTGTGGTAAAGGCGGGCCCTCCGCTTATTCTCCGCATTATTGTCGGATAACGCCAAGAACGTGCGACGGCTTGCGAACCCGCCGAAGGTATCCGAAAGTCCAATTTGGCCCTCGATAAGGAAAACGTTTTCCCACCGGTGATCTATAGATTCGTGTGTCAATATACTATAAGATACATCTTATCGCTCACACCACTTTAGCGTCCATAGATTTAGTATCGCTATAGGTAGCCCAAGTAAGGCGACGGCAAAAACGTGATAATCGAACCGCGGACAGGGGCTAAATCGTTGCATTCGTAGTGCGCTTGACTGGGTATGCTAAGGTCGAGCGCGCAGTAAGTTCTCCTATAGAGTGAAGCGCGTGAAACTTCCAACAGCGCGAATGTGGTGGGGGTTGTGATCCATTTACCGTGATATGGTGTTTTAATTGTGTACAGTGAAGTGAGAGCGAGGTGTATCCAAGCCGACTTGTATGTACGTAGTGTCGCGCTTCACGTCGCGTTCCCAAAGCGGTGTGCGCAGCTGCTTCAGTTATTGTTTTTACGGCGGAAAATTATGGTGGCGCACAACTGCGTGATGGTGTACAGCGATTTCTGCGTGCACGGTGTAGCAGTGTGTACAGTCGCGTTCCATTGTGTATTGTAGTGGTCTCATAGGAGTGTTATATTTTCGTGGTATATAGAAGTGGTCATCAACCTGGTATATAAGCATCATCGTAGTGTTCTATCAGTGTGCTGTGTAAGGCAGCGATCTGTCTGCGGTGTATTCGGTTCACGTGGTAGTATTCCATAAACATGCCGTGTATAGTAGTTTTATGAGTGTGACGCGTAAGAGTAGTATTTTGAGCGTGGCGCATTGTAAAAAAAAAAACCCCAGCTTTGTCCACTTAGTTACGCGTATCCTCTACCAGAATTTCATTCGCCAGTATTGTAGCATACGTTAAGTCCTCACTTAACGCGTGTTCGCACTATCACACGTTTTCGCTGTAACGCGGTTATTCCATTGGGGAACAGTTTTCGGTTAAAACGCGGAACGCGCGCACGCCGTTATTACACGTTGCTACTTTCTTGAGCTGCGCGGGCTGAGCAGTGCAGTAATACAGTGTGCAGAATGATACAGTCACGTGGCGGCGGCGTACCCTCACTTATACGTCCCGCCATCTCACCGCGCGGTGTGTGTAGTAGTAGTAAACCGTACCTCGCCAAACTTCATCGTTACATTACTTACGGGGGGGGGGGGGGTGTGAACCGTTTTCGCTTTTTGTCTGAACGGGGAACTTTTTATGAAGGCATCTACTACTACTACTACTAGCGCGTTCAACGAGGGCTCACGGCACACACGTAGTGCACTCGCGTCTTGTTCGAGCGTGGAGTAAAATGGGAGCGTTCCACAAGCTGTGTTCTATGGAATCAGTGTGGCGCGCCCAGAGCAGCGTCCTTGTGGTTTGCTGCGGCGTACCATCGCTATCGCCATCACCAAAGCACCGCGCACAGAACGGGGAGGTAACTCGGGATTGTAATCCGATTAACAGAAGACAGGCGACCGTAATCCGGTGTTATTTTGTTGTCTGGTGCATAATCAGATTAACAACTCTCACTCGGCACGTCAATAACTTTGACTTGTAAGAAAATTGAAAAATTGATTCTATAAAACAATTAGAAGCAGGAAATGTGTATGTCAGCCAATGCATAGAGACCAGACTACCAAGTCTGCAAGATACAAACTGGGTGTCCAATTTGCCTATATTCTCCAATCAGTTATCTGTGTGCGCGCCGAAAAAAGGTGTTTTACAAATTAAAATAGGCGGACAAAACACGATCAAATAATGTAACCCACCAAGAAACCAGAACTTATTTTCACGTCCATTAATTTTTTGCGTGTTTACGAATTTAGGAAGCAGTGAATAACGCATCAGCCCGTGTCAATATCCCCTGGAATGACCCCTCAAATGTTTTGCCGTCAGACCACAGAAGCGAAGCAGCTTTGTGCCCGACTAGTGCTTTGACCGGTGACCACCACGCACGGGCGGCTGCGGAAATCTACGCCGCCGGCAGCAGAGGGCAGTGGAGCAACGCCGACGCAGAACATCCCTGGTTTTGATCTTCCACGAAAGCTCGCGGTGCACCCTAAACCCACACCCACTAGACAAACCACACCCACTAGGCCAGACATGGGCAAAGTACGGCCCCCGGGCCCTATACGGCCCGTTGGGCTTTTTAATCCGGCCCGCCGAACTTGTCCAAATATTATTATTGAATTAAATTCTACCTTTCTCCTGCAATGCCCCCATTTCCCCATTAGATGGCGCACTTTGACCGGGAGTTACAAAATGTTTTTGTATTGTTCAAGTTCGTGCAAATTGTTAAATTGCCTTGCAAATAAATGCTTTGCTACCTGTTAAAGGCCAAAACCTTTCATGTAATGATTTGTACACGTCATTTATATTAATTCACACAAACGCTCCATCCATCTGTTCCTGGCCCGGCCGCTCCGTCAAATTTTAGAACCCATTGTGGCCCGCGAGTCAAAAAATTTGCCCACCCCTGCACTAGACAAAGCATGGCAGCTGAAGCACAAATGTAAAATTAAAAACTATCCGACATGCACACTGTAGCCATCCAGAACAGACTGTAGTACACCGTGTATGTAACGATGCAACGCCCGATCCACAAATACGAAGGATACATCGCAGCGATACAACTCCGCCGCTGCTCCTCACGCGGTAAGTCTGGCTTGACCACCTGAAGGTGAAATTGTAGCCGTTGCCCTGCGTCTACATCAGCAGCCATACGTAAAAGACTGTACTTTCTATGCTCCCTTTCCTTCACTAATCCCGCACTGAACTAGCATGGTGAAGTATGGTAAAACAACCCCCACGATCCACGTGGCGTGTGAGGAGGCCCCTCACCCAGCAGTGGATTGATAAAACGGCTGCGCGCGTACATGGCTGTGCACGTAATGCGAAGAACATATTGTTTCGATTCCTCCGAGTGGCAACGTCTCTTTCTACCTCCATGTGGAAACACAGCAACGGCCACCGTGCCATTGTTTCCAAAGTTTTAACGCGCAGCGCTTTAGCGATCCACTGATGGAACGACGATGAAGGCCTCCCTCACCACCTCTCCCCGCCCCCCAATTTCCGTGCGTGTGTTTTTATGGTCATACTTCAACACACCGTCCACTGCTGGGGTTGGTGAAGGAGGGCTGGGAGCACAGGGCCAGCGCAGATTATCACCGGCTTCATAGCGCGGTGCGTTAAAATCACCGCGCCCCCACCGCTCTCTCGCCCAATTCCAAAGTTGTGACCGGCCTAAAAGTGCGTTCATAACTTGGAAGATTATGATGGTCTCAAAAACAAGAGTAATCCGGCAATCCGATTGGGTTGCAGTGAAAAGCACCAAAGCGTGGCGTTGTGCGACTTTGCCCGTAAGTGGAATGACGCCAAAGCATGTTCGGTGTGGATAACCTCGCGGTAGACCGCTTCCAAAAGCCTGCAGATGTGGGAGATGGTAGATATTTAGATTTCTTACAATTTTCCGGAACCTTGGATAAAATGAACGTGCAAACCAATGGGTTCAGGCTGCTGTTTGGACTAATTGCCTCGAGTCTCCCCCTCCAAGCATTGTCGTCACCGCGTCGTCACCGTGTCGTCACCGTGTCAGTCTACGTGACGTCACCGTGACGTCACCGTGTCGTCACCGTGTCAGTCTACACGTCGTCGTTGCCGTGATGACGCCGTAACGTCACCGCGGCAGTCTACGTGACGTCACCGTGACGTCACCGTGTCATCACCGTGTCGTCGCCGTGTCAGTCTACGCGTCGTCGTTGCCGTGATGACGCCGTGACGTCACCGCGGCAGTCTACGCGTCGTCGTTGCCATGTCGTTGCCGTGATGACACCGTAACGTCGCCGTGTCGTCACCGTGGCAACGCCAGCATCACTCCTGCGCCTCCTTGCCGGCGAGGCGGTAGACCTCGGTGGGTGCCGTGTTAGAGCCTCCTGCCAACGCCGTCGTCGCCGTGGTCAGCTCCTCCCCGTGGGCCAGGGCGATGTCACCTGCCGTGGTGGATGGAGGAGGAACGGTGTGAAAGTCAGCGGTGGCGGTTGCCAAAATAAACAAATGTGCTATCGGCATCGCGCCGTGAGATGCCGCGTGCGGGCCTTTGCTAGGTTCTACTCGCTAACAGCACTTGCCCCCCCAACGTTCTGTTAAGGCTACATGGTGAGAGGGGGGGGGGGGGGCGGGAATCTTTGTGTCTTTGCGTGACGGAGCGAGCGTCACCTTCGGAGCGGTCGGCATCCCCGTAGCGCTTGTGCGAGGGCGCGTAGAGGAACATGACGGAGAAGACGTACATGTTCCACATGCCGTACACGCCCGTGAAGAACGCCGCGTTCACGTGCACCGTGCGGTCGCCCCACTTCCAGTGACCCTCGTTCACCTACAAGGGGGTGTGGGGGGTAAGGGTGAGGACGCGTTGAACACGGTCATTATCATCATCGATACCATCGCGAGCAGCATCGTCGTCGTCATCGCCATTATCATCCTCACGACTACCATCACTGTCTAATCATCATCGTCGTCGTCCTCATCACTGTCAACATCGCCATCTTAATCATCTTCATCTTACATCCTCATCATCGATGTCATCTTCATGGTCATCACTATCGCCGTCATCGTCATCACTGCCCTCGCCAAAGATCCCCCCTCCAAAGTGCTGTTAGCGAGCACCTACAAAGGTCAGCATGGCACACAAGGGAGTGGGTGGCCAGCACCACGCTCGCCCGCCTTTGTCTCCCTACTTGCAATGTTTGCACACCGCACCAGGTACTCATTTGAGGCCGAGTCGACCTAGGGGAGGCCCGGTACCTGTTCAGATAATCGTCACTGGTGTTCGTGGACGTGAGCGGGAATCTAAACTACAACCACTACCCTACAACCACTACCCTACAGCTCTACACTAAAGACGAGACAACACACTCTTTGGTTTTTCGGTAAAGTCAGCATAACAAAAGGCGTCCCTTCCTGGCTCCTCCCCCCCCCCCCCCCCTTAACCTGTATATAATCTCGGGTGTCTCAGAGCTCTTCACTTGATACAGCTATTCTGCTGTGACTGTTCCACCCGAAGACGGAAGCTTGTGTTGCCTCCGAAACGTCGTGATTTAATTTAGTTGTTTTCATTTTATGTCACCTACGTGACTTTACCGAAAAACCAAAGAGTATGAATCCTTGCAGTCACGAAAGCTTCAAATCTAGGACAAGACAACACACAGCGAGGCAGGCAAGACTGAAGAACGGATGTCACCGAGGTTGTGGGCGTGGTGTGTGTTGTATACGGCCCTTTTTCCACAATTAATATCCATAAGAATATTTACGGATGCATACACCTAGATTTCTTTTTCCTTTCTTTCGTGACAAACAATATATATATATATTTTTTTTTAATGAATCAAACCAGTAAGCCAGAAACACGAAAAACCAGATGTCGGTCATAAACAGACCATTAAAGAATAAAGAAATAATAAAACTCTCAAGGCGAGGATGTAACAGCTATCGGCGAAAATCTCCAGATGAACAAGAGTTTGATGGGCCCCTTAGGAAAGGTCCCTCCGAGGTCAGAACACCAAGAGAGCAGACACCAGACGCCAACAGGGTAAATCGTATACATATTCTTTTCCTTATTTTCCAGTAAAACAACAACAACAAAAATTAAAAGGCAACAACAAGAATAAGATAAAAGTAGCGAGCCTAACGCTCACTCCAATTAAGAACAGGCCACCAGACACATCAGTGAATTATTATCCAATAATTAATTCGCTATCAAATGATTTTCACCTTTAATACTTTTACTGTTAAAGCAAAGCTTGGAGACAAAATACCGAGTCACATCAAAGGTTATCGAGAAGGAATGAGGCGAACGGGCAAACTTACGAAAGAGTTTAAACAATATCCCAAGCAACCCCGACCATCTTTGTCTCTCTCACAGCGCGGAGAAGCAGGAATTACACCTTATCACAAGGGGCCATCTGGAAAAGCCAGCCGGGTTTGATGAGGAGACACACCCACCCCACACACGGCAACCAGGCAAAGAAAGTTTTAAAGAAAATTGCAAAATAATATTAATAATAACAACGTGTTAACCTTACACGACATTCCATTATAGAACCTTACAGAACCAAGGGATATGGATTCCAACAATCTAGAAACGGACCTCTTAAACTCAGGATGATAATTATTTTTCTTTTTAATAATTCCATCATAACAATTCGAACCTCGGTAAACCGAGAGGTGTCGGGAGGACGCAGTTACAAACACGAGTCTTGGCGAACATGGGACCAAATGGTATTTGAGCAATATAAGTCAAAAGTATAAAGAGGTGCTCCCGGCCACCTTTGTCTTTCCCTGCAGAACGTGATAAAATGCATACGCTCGGAAGAGCATCTTCACTTGGAAATAAATCAAATACTATGAATCACAAGCAGGATCATAACTGTGTATGATAAGATACCAACTGTGATGTGAAATGTTAAACTTAAAAAAAATCTTAACCATTTCTTTGTGCGTCGGAACGCGTACGGAAAAGGGGGGGGGGAACCCGCCCCTCTCTCTGGGTGGAGGGATTAGACAACCAGACGCCACCAAGATGAATCGAGGTGTCTGTTGTCTTGATGTTTATGGCTTGAGGAAAGACCCCAACAGAGCCATGTCATAAATGACACACACACAAACATACACACTGACACACGAACCCCCCCCACCACCGACACACGAACCCCCCCCACCGACATACGATCAGATCAAAGATAGCTCCACCTCGTGAGGGGGAGCCGAGAAGGGGAGAGATTTTTGGCATAAAAGGAGCCGTTTCAGCATTGAAACCAGCTCATCAGCCCTCGGGGCCAACTCATCAGCCCTCGGGGGCAGCTCAACAGAAGAAGACTCATCTCAACTCAGCTCAACAGAAGAAGACTCATCTCAACTCAACTCAGCAGAAGAAAAAACTTGACCTGTCGCTCGCGAGCGCAGCGTCAGCTACTACAGCAGCGGAAAGAGCGCGCGCCGGCGTAGCTCATCCAGCAGTGGAGGAAACTGCTGTCAGCGAATCAGCACGGAAGCGTTCGCGCATCTTCAAGGAGAAAGAGCGCGGCCAGCAACGCCAAGCAAGAGCGTGCAGCAGCTCAGCCAGCAGTGGAGAGAAACTGCTGTCAGCGAACCAGCACGGGCGCGTTCGCGCATCTTCAAGGAGAGGGAGCGCGCGCCACCAGCGTGCCATCAGCACCTGCATCAGCACCAGCGCGTGCCAACAGCGTGCCATCAGCACCTGCATCAGCACCAGCGCGCGCCACCAGCGTGCCATCAGCACCTGCATCAGCACCAGCGCGTGCCAACAGCGTGCCACCAGCGTGCTACAGCGCGCAACTTCGCGTCACCAGGGCTGAGAGGGAAGCGGCCCCGCACTCAACGCCCATCGGCGCGACGACGGCGAGCGTCGTGCTGACTCTTCCAGCCAGCAGTGGACAGAAACTGGCAGCCGTTCGTATGCCCCAACCCCTCCCCCACACTCTTCCCCTCACTCCCCCACCGCGCCGCAACACACAGGAAACACATTTTGGACACACGAGATGCTAACCTCGGCGTCTGCTTTACGCAAAGAATTGAACCAGTGATAACGAAGATACGATACGCATATCGGGATAATCAAGAAGGGTTGCCACTCCAAGGTGCGGCATTAAAAATCAATTCATAACGAAAAATTCTGCTGTCATTGAGTTGCATAATAACCAATCGTCCTACTGTTAAAAACGTGATAAGAATTGACTTGAAGGTCTATGAATGGATGTGGTACTCTGTGGGCAATGTTTAAATACGAATTCACATTATAAGGTTAAGGTTTTGATAGAATAGTTCACTTGTTTTTAATCTCTCTCTCAACAACCGATCGATTGCGTTACACGTCAGGAATTAACCACAGGTGCCGCTATCGAGGTGAAACAACGCAATCGTGATGGTATCGTGTTAACGCTGTGTTGAAATTCCAAATCCCGAGATTGAGTTTTTCATATTATCCAAAAATTAAAGTTAGCTAGAAATAAAATTGATTAAAGCAGAAGGTTTGTGTGTGATTCTTCCTGAAATTCTGCATAATATTGTTCTGCGTATGAGATCTGAATCCTGGGGACCTATCATAAGCACACTATCACCACATAATCCATAACACACATAATCCGTAATGTTCAATCGAGAGTAATCGTATCCTTATCGATAATACGGAATTGAAGAGCAGAGTCGAATCGTCTCTCTCTCATTCACGCTCACAACGCCTGCGTCACTGCATACGATTAATTGCGTTATTCCAATTCATAACACAATCCTCGTCACCGAGGCTCGACCTGATAATCCATAACGACCTGCATTATCATAACCACGCCCACTCGCATAAATTAATACGATTATCTCTCGAATCAGCATAATTTATGCACATAATTACACTAATTAACATGATTTCGGATAAATTATGCAAATCTCAAATTTCATTTAATTTTCATTATTTTCATCAATTTTCATAACACCTATATATACAACATATTGGGGGCGTCGTCCGGGATCTCTCGCAGACAGTTTATGCTTGAATTAAGGAACAAATCACTGTTGTATTAACCAAGGTTTTATGATCTAACGTTGCCCTGTGACTGTAACGGGTGTAAAGCAAACAAAAAACGCACTCTGAAGGGAAATTCCAGAGTAGCAGGGTATAACAAAGACAATTGAAGTAAGATTATTTGCTCGAGTCAAACTGACCATATCCTGTGATACAATTGTTTTATACGTACTCTGAAGGGAATACCAGAGTCACAGGAGTCGAACTGATGCATTCTGGATACAACTGTTTTGATATGCACTCTGAAGTGAAATTCCAGAGATGCTCGTATTAAGAGTAATTTTTGAGTGGATTGCGGGATATTGGGAACTTGTACCAAAAAGGTCAGGCCGATCTGCTACAGAGCAAACAAATCAGGGAGACACATGGAAGGGGAGCTGTATTGATGACATTGGGACACTGCTTAAGAACTGGATAAAATGGGAGAAAAGCGAACACGATGTAAAAACATCAGGAATAGCTACGCTGAACTCAGACCCTCTCGCACAGACAGACAAACAGAGATTATGGGATGAGGAAAATTTCGGAAAAGAAACAGGTGGGACTGATAACCCCGAAGTCAGAGTGAGACAGAATATCAAAACTAAATCACCAGGAGATTATGTACTAATAACGCGAGAAAGGGCGGAGCCGAAGCTCCGAGGCAACTCTCCAGGAAAACGCACACCACGCACAGACGGCCGACACAAACATCGCGACAGGCACGACGCACCAGACAAATATAAATCAAACACCCCACAAAAACCACCTAAGTATGAGCCATGGGGAAAACAGGAGTCACC